ATACTTTACAATATAATTATCTTTGTATCTTCCTCAAAAAAAAGCATTATTATATAAAGATTTTTAATATTTTTGAAATGAATTTAAAATTTCAATTTTTTAATATACCATGTTTCAATGTTGCTAAAATGCGCTCGCTCCGGGAACGCCGCTATTTATGAGGGGAGCGGGAGCTAGCTCCTTGTTGGAATGGAGCGAGGAGGAACCCCACTCTTTTAATTTTATTGTACTAATTGTTTAAAAAATAATCTATTTGTTGAATAAAATAAAAATAACATATATTCAATTTAAATGTATGAAACCAGTGTTGCAGTCCCAAAATTTGCGATGGGGGCACGTTATTACTCTAAAAAAATAGTAGGGGGCACATTAAAATGGCAAATATTAATGACGAATTTTTGTTTTTCCAAGAATTTAAGACAAATTTTTTTTGAATATTTTTATTTTTTTATAAATAGTTATGTTGATGTATTTCATATAAAATTTGAATTGCAAAAAAAAATGAAGTATATTTTTATAATGATAAAATTTTTTAGATAAAAATGGAGGTAATTTATTAGATTAAACGACGTTATTTTTTAGTTTGTATTTGATAATTATATAAAATAATAAGTCGGAATAGATTAAAAAAAGGTGAAAAAACCTGATTTGCAGGCATGTGACTTGTAATTCAGTCTTAAATATATGGAGAAAATTCCAGACGGAAATGTTTTTTATCATAAGATTTGCAAGAAACGTCTTATTAACTTTCATAAGGTGAAGCGATGATCAAATTCCAATTATATGGAATTGTGTAAATATAATTTTAAAACTCTTTCGAATTATCGGTGTTTTCATATCAATTTTCTCATCCCATTTATTGAGATACAAATAGTCGTAAATAAATTTGTTTAATTTGCTCTTCCCTACAACGAAAATGTAGGAGCTACTAGCCAGTTATTTTTTTCTAAATATTCTATTACCATTTAATATAGTATCTTTAATTACTAAAATTATAGGAATTAGCATCAATTAACCTCTTTTATATTTGTCTATTAAGGTAGTAATGAATTAATTTTCGTTGATACAAGTGTTGTTTTTCATTAACTTATTGAGATATTTTCCGCCTATAGAAATCGTCGCCCTGAGAATTAAATTATACCATCTCGACTTTTTGAAATTTTACAGGCGAGAAATTTTCAAAAATTTTAATTTGTTTTCAATATGATGGTTAACCTTACTTAATTGGCTATAACTTTATTTTATAAATATCAGTTATTAAAATTTATTTATGTTAGAAAAGTCATTTTAACAAAAAGTGGATGTGGAATAACTTAATTCTCAGATATCGAAATATTAAATAAACATTCATTTAGAAATTACAAGAGATTTAGAACTTATCAGTCATATCCTTAAATGTTTATAATAAAGTCTAGACAGATTGGATAATTCAAACATCATAAATCAAGGCGAGATCTTATAAGAATTTAACACTTTTTAACTGGGTGAACAGCCCGTTAAATTTTTCACTGTTGCTAAAATTTGCTGAATTTTTGAAATGCGAATTATTCTAAATTGCCCTAATAGCACGGAGACTGTTAGATGTCCATCGTACATCAAGTACTCTTCCCATCTTTAGCAACTGAATGCTCAATTCAGATTCTATTTGATCCAACGCCTTGACTGTCTAAATAAACTATATAATGTGTCAATAAGGCTTTAAAGTGATTAACGCCTTTAACATCTTCTACTGCATAGAACATCGATAATCTAAAACGGCGATTTAAACAATGCCAGGGTGTAATAATTGGATATAGTGCACAAAGGAATCAATCTATATCAAAATAGGTTTTACCAACTGGAAGAAAGTTCATGAAAAATGGGCATTGAAAAGCATGATAATTACAGAATACATAGAAGACTAAGATCAAAAGATTTTTCAAATTTTTTTATATAAACTAATTAACAATTTGAAATTTTTTTTACCAAGATGACTTTTTAATAACATTACCGAAGAGGAATGATTAGTAAATGAAATTCAAGTTGTCAAAAAATTATTAGTTAAATGTTTAGAAAATAAAAAGATTGTATTACATCATATTTTGTCAAAATTTTTTATATTCAAATGCATTTCCAAATATTCTGCATCATCCACATCGAGTTGTGACATGAGTCAACCTTTATACCAATATAGAGAATTATTAAACAAGAAAAACGTACGAGTAGTGATATAAAAAAAGATAACTTGGTTTTACTAGGACATGAAAAAAAAAATGAAACCAGGGATCGAACCGAACCCGGAGAAAAAAATCCGGGTTTTATCTGAACCCAAACCGAACCTGAACCCTGTTTATAAAATTTTTAAAACACCGAACCGAACCCGGGAATTTTATCAGAACCCGGGTTCAGTGTATTGTTTGAAATCATATATTAAAATATTTGTATAATTTTAAATACAAATATTAATAATTTAATTGAGATTTTATAATATTTTCAAATTTCCAATAAAGTGAATTGTTAATATAGTTTAAACAACTTTATTCATTTACGCCATTTTTAAAATTTTTTTATTCTCAAAGTTTCTTATTGGAATGTTAAAAAATTTTAAACAATTAAATTCATTTACGCCATTTATTTTTAATTTTTTACTTATTCTCAAAGATTAGAAAGTGAACAAGTCAAAGTTAAAATGGGTCAACTTCACGACAGCCCCCCAACTTTTGAATTTAAAAATAAAAAGTGTATAGATCGATAGAAAATGATTTGTACCGATTTGTACCGTTTTCAGTTTGATTTATAACATTACTGTTTTCAGTTTGATTTATAACATTACCGTTTTCCAGCTATTAACCGTTAAAAATATGGCGCCAAAAATAAAAAACACTCGAATTTTATTTTTTTTAAATCTCTTAACGTACATCGATAGAGATATTTTTTCTCTTCCTAATGATGCCTCAAATTAAGTTTTATCTTCATTATTTATTTCGGGAATCAAATTTTAAACCTTATATTATTATTATAAAAGTAAAATTCACGTTTTCAAATGAAGAATATCTGGCAACCCTGGTATATATATATATATTAAGTAAAGCTAGTCCATTCAATTGATTTTCAAATGTCGTACTTCTGAGATAGGTTTTTTTCCTCTGTAATGAAGAAAAAATCTTTTCATTTCATTTGTACTATGAATATATTTGAAAATAACTATAAAATATAGTTTAAAGTATGTTTCCATGGCGTTTCTTGGAGGATTATTATATAATTTATCTCTCTAACCACGATTTTAAATTAATTATCCATCAGATACGGCCTTCAAATACATTTATATCCTTTGGATAAAATTTAACTAAATATTTAATTTCAATATAAAGATTTAAAATAGCCTAAGACGAGTTTCTATGTATTACACTTTAATATTGGAACGATTTTTTTCCTATATGCATGTCGAAGCTTACGAAATCAAAATCATATAATCTTGCTTTCGCCTTAATAATCACATAAATCTCAAAATTTTGAGTCGATACTATCTCTTAGTTTTCCAAATATAACAATATTCGTGTAACAACATCCAAATAATCCATATCATTTATTTTGAAAAATATTGCATATGTTGTATAATTAAATAATTTCTTAATACATATTCAAATGGGGAAAAAATCTGCAGTAATATTGAATCTAATGAATCCGCTTCAGGTGAAATATCTGGTTCAAGCCATTCTGACATTCGTCCAAGGGCAAAATAGGCTCTCCTAGATCCAAAAATGCTATAACACCTTGATGTCGAAAGCTCTATAGTGTAGGGCATGCTTTTTAGTTTTTTCTTCTTGTGGCACATAAGTTTTAATAATTCTATTTAGAAATTCTGTCTAAAAAATAAATACTAACTTCCTGAAGTGCTTATTTCTTCATCGCTCATCAGATTGTGAAGATGAATAATCATAATTTCTGGTATTGCGTTATATATGTTTAATATTAAATTATAATACTTTTAAATTTTTGGTTGATAAACTTTCTTATATCTATCAGTAGTGTTGTTAAACGGCTCGTTTTGGGCCGATTTTTAAAAACGGCTAACTCAATATTTTAGGCAGGAATATATTGCCTAAGCCTCGAGATTTCGCTAATAGATGTCCAAACGGTTGTTCCTTATGCAGACAAAATCTTCAGGCTTGCGTAATATTATTCTAGATTAAATATTGAGTTAGCCGTTTTTAAAAATCTGCTCAAAAACGAGCCGTTTAACAACACTATCTATCAAAGTGGCCTCGTTTATAGTAAACGTGATTTTTTCAAGCGGTTCGGTACATAACGCTGCGTTATTAGAAAATCAAGCCAATAAATATGGGGCATAACAATGAAAACGTTATTATAAACTTTGATAAACATATGATGCTACGTATACTTTAAAAATTATTAACGCTGTGAAGAATTAAGTGTGATGTCGATAGCGTTAAATACCGCACCGCTTGAACAAATCGTGTTTACTATAAATGAGGCCTACGGTGTAAAAAAAAATAAAAAATAGGCTTCAAATTTTATTAGAAAAAAATATTAATACACAAAAAATAAAAATTAATTTGAGTTTTTGCTAAAGCTTAAAATAAAATATAACTATGCCTACGGTGTAAAAAAAATTAAAAAAATGGGCTTCAAATTTAATTAGAAAAAATATTAATAGACAAGAAATATAAAAATAAATTTGAACTTTTTTCTAAAGCTTAAAATTAACCTAATATTTTGCATTTCACAATTCAAAAAACCTTCATATTTTTTTAAAAAAAATATGGCGGGTGGATACCCATTCTGTGCTGGTTACGAGCCTGTTTAATTACCATAAGTCATCTTCTTGCATAAACTTAAAAATAAATTCAATTTTAAATGCATTAAGTTCAAACTTTAAAAAAGCAGTCTATTTATTTACAACTATTCCAAGATCAAATCCATCAATTAGAATAAAAAATTCCTATTCATTTACAAAAATAATTACTTCAAATTTTAAAATTTTAATTTTTTACTATATAGACGATGATATTTTTTATTTCCATATTATGAATGATATATTATTCAATAGTAAAAAAAAATTTTCTAGGCAAAAATAAATTTTAAGTTTAGATCATGAAATTGGTGGGTAAAAGACAAAAAAAAATTTTTTACATCTAAGTAATAATTATATTATATTATTATATCCTTGACTAATCGCAAAGCCGAATTTAAATAAAAACGAATTATAGTACATTTAAAGCAAAATTGGTATATGTGACACTTTTATTGATATTTTTTAGAGATTATTTAGTGCTAAGACATCCAGCTCCAACTCCAAATCCAACCCCTTTCGGGCCAAACAAGCTTCCATAGCAAGCTAAATCGATAAAAAAAAATAATATTAACAAAATTTAAAAAAAACAATAATAAAACAAAGCAATCTAACTCGAATCTGTCTAATTTAAGACAATTTTTTAGTTAAAAAAATGGCTATCAAATTAGACTTGATTCTTATATATAATTGATATATTTGATTACATTTGCAATATATTTCTCCTTCATTATTAGCGACTGTTGTTGAATCTAAAGGCTTACCACATTTAGCACAACGGAAACAATTTTTGTGCCAAGGCTATATCATCGTTAATATAAAATTATATAGTATATAATACTTAAATAAAATAAATTATTCTTAATTCTAAGCATTCTTTTTATAAATGAGATATAAAATAAAAAAATTCTTGAAATATATTTTACAATTTACCATGCCAGCACCAATCAATTTTTCGGCAAAATAAACAGGTTTTCCACATCTGGAGCATACTTCATTACCAGGAGGGGCAGCGTTCCCTGTTGCATCTTTTCCTAAATGTGAAGTTGGAACGTTCCTTTTATATTTTTGAATAAATCATATTTAGCATACATTTTATTTTAAAGGGGAAAAATCCTGAAATGGAAATATTCTTACTATAAAAAATCTATGTTTACGTCAATGTCTTATTTTTTCAACTTTAAATCATATTTTTGAAAGCGTTTTTTTAAACTTAAAAATCTAATTTGTCTAAGAATTTTAGACAATTTTGCCGTTAACCTTTTGCATTATAGATTATATATATGTTATTTTAATAATAAATAAAAGTATAAAATTTAAAAAATATATACTAATTTATTTATTTTAAAATTTCATGGCAAAATTTTCTAAAATTCACAGAGTTGTTTTTCTAAACATGTTAGAATTCACTCAATAAATGATATATAATTGAGATTTGAACGATATATTAATACTTTAGGGAAATATATTTTTTCTATATAGATACCAGGTTATACATATATTCCAATTCAATTTTTTAATAAAATCTAATTCACAATACCAAAGTGAGAACATTTAAGACATCTATTCTATTTTTCAATCAATATTATTATTCATTCAATAACTTAATTATAGCGATTTGCGAGGATATGAATGTATATTTCTAATTTCTAGCGATTTTTCCGTTTTAAGGATTTACATATAACCAAGTAATTTAGAAAGTTTTCAAAAAACGTGGCTGAAATTTTTATTAACATAATTTTTTATGAAAATAAAATTATTGGAATATTTTTTTTACTATTCAAATGATATTCGTGTGTATTGAAATGGATTTATTTCTTCTCCGTTTTATGGCGATTTCCAGGTTTACTCAGGTAGGCCAGTTTTTCCTCTGATTTTTCTTTTCCCTTTTTGACGGTCCTGAGCAAGGTGCATCTCTTTACCCAGTCATCTTTTGTCATACGTTCCACATGCTCAAACCATCTTAGTCTATTTCATCGCATTACCACTCCAATCATTATACCTAAGCTAGCTCGCAATTCCTTGATAGTTTTTCTTTCTCTCAGATATACTCCACACATATAACTAATCATCCTCATCTCTGTTTTTTCTAATTTGGCTTCGTGAGTTGCTTTCATTGCCATGTTTCACCGCCATTAACTAAACAACTCCTCACACAGCTTACGTAAACTTTACCATTTAGTGAGAGACTTTTTTATTTTTTAGAATAGACGAATAAACTCTTCCATTCTTGTCTGACCCTTACAACAACGGCAGAATCTACACCAATCTGCGTTTAGCATATCACCCAAACAGTGGCGTAGCTAGGAATTTTCCTTAGAGGGGGTCCATACATATAAAAGCTGGGGGCTTCGCCCCCAGACCCCTTTAACGGGCCTTCGGCCCTTTTGTCCGGCCTTCGGCCGGGTTTGTCTTACAAATCATAACCATATCTTCGATAATATATAATAAATATATTTTTTAAATGCATCAATAATTTAGTAGATTATTCTCAATGACTTTATAATAATACTATCCAGAAAAATTTCAATAGTAATATAATATCCTTCCACAAACATCAAAACCAGAAAAATTTAATTCATATAAAATTACTTTTAAGTCTTTTGAACGTATAATCTAAAAAAAATTTTGCTCTGGGAGGGGTCCAAACCCGAAAACCACCCCCGTAGCTACGCCACTGCACCCAAATAACAAAACTTATCTATTTTTCCTGGGGTTACCCATTGCCAATATCCAGACCACCATTTTCTACGTTATTATTATTATGTACCCCCTTTATGCACGTTCTACAAATAAAGGTCATTCTTGCCAACATCAGACTTCCTTTTTACCCGCTACATCTATTATGTACCCATTTCTGGCATCTGCTGCATTGGATTGAATTTCTAACAACTCCTTTCCTCCATCTTTAGATTTTCCCCACCAATTATCACCTTTGTCTTTGTTGCATTCATTTTCAGGCCCTTTGCTTTCATAGACATCTTCCATTAACTAATTTTATCCATCAATACTCCCTCACTGTTTGCCATTAATACAAGGTCATCTGCATATAATAGCTCCCAGGGAAGTCCTTCATTCATTTCTCTAGCCACCACATTCATTGCTAAGATAAATAATAATGGACTCAATACGGATCCTTAATGAAGTCCTACCTTCACTTCAAAGCTTCCAGTATCTCCATCATCCGTCTGTACTGCAGCTTGTGCTCCCGCATACACTGACATCACTGCCATAACCAACCATTCCTCCACACCTGATTTTCTCAAGGCCCATCTAGTAACCTCGCGCGGCACTCTGTCATGCTTTCTCCAAATCAACAAAGCACAATACAGTTTCTTTTCCTTCGCAAGTTACTTCTCCTATATTTGTCTCACCATAAAAATTGCATCTGCCGTACCTTTCCCCGATGTATTGGTTTAAACTCATCAACACCAAGCGGTTAAATTCTAACGTTATTCATATAATTTTTTCTACCATACTGAATTCATCAATTTTAGTTTGTTTCCTTATCCGCTTCTCTAACACCCTCTCAAATACCTTCATTGCATGTTCCAAGAGTTTAATAGCTCTATAAGACCCGTAATCTAAAGGATCACCTTTCTCCTTGTATACTGGAATAATTATACTTCTTCGCCAGTCCTCGGGAATAGTTCCTTCTGAGACAATTCGCTTGGCTAAATCTATTAACCATTCAATCCCCAAGTCATCAGAATCTTTAAACATCTCTGATACCACCCTGGTTAAACTCGATGCCTTCCCTTTTTTCATCTTTTTCACTGCTCTCTTTATTTCATCCTTGTCAAATTTACAACCTGGACCTTCTACCTTTGTAAAACTAACATTATTATTCCATTCATTTTCTTCGTTCAAAAGTCCTTCCATGTAAATCTTCCAGGTGTTTTTAATCCACTACTATCAATCATCATTTTTCCTTCCATTTCAAACAACACCTACCACATCCTGCCTTTTTTGCTATCTGATTCGAATCACATTTCCCATTCCTTCAGCGCATTCCATTTCTTTAGCAAACTCCTGCCTTTTTTCTTCTTACGCCTTAGCTATTAATTTCTTAGCATTTCTTTTTGCCATCTTGTAAATATCGTCATCACTATTTTCTTTACTATTATACCATTCTTTGAATCCGTTTCTCATCCACAGCTTTCGCTACCTTAGAGTTCCACCACCAAACTCCTTATGTCTAGGCGGCCCTTTTGTCCATCCACATACCTCCTCAGTTGTCATCACCCAGGCTTCCCACTTGTCGTTTACCCCAGATGCTTGTGCCACCTCCGCCTCCCTTATCGCCAATGTCATATTGAATTGATGTCTAGTATTCCTTTTCAAACCTTCAGCCTTGACACAAACTTTCTTTTAGTGATCCTGGCATCTTTAAAAGTGAGATCTCCTATAACTAGTCGATGCTGATTATAATATTCTTCTCCCGGTATCACTTTCACATTATCACATATAACAAATAATCCACTGCACTTTTGGTACTACTCGATTTATAAGTCACTACTTCTCTGATTCTTTCTTAAACATTGTATTACAGACAATATATCCATAGCATCACTAAAATCTTCTCTAGATTTCTCATGCCGTACTGAATCCTCCATGTACTCCTTCATAGCCCTCACTACTTGCTCCAACATGTCCATTCAGATCACGAGCCAGGATAATCCCTTCTTCATTTGTCAGTCTCGATGTCACCCCCAATAAACTGTCCCAAAATATATCTTTCTCTTCTTAACTTTTTTCAACCTGAGGAACATATGCCGAGATAATAATATATAGCTTTCTACCAAAAATCATTTTGATAACCATTATATGGTTATCTAACCTTCTCACTTCGACTACTTTGTTCACCAATTTCTCCGCAACCAATACCCCAACTCCAGCCTTACCATCATTGCTTCCTTGCCAGAAGAATTTATACTTTTCACTAGTCTTGCCAATTGCTCTTGAGCCATTACCTTTACATCTTGCCTCCTGCATGCAGCACACATCTATATGCCTTCTATGCAATACATCGACCACTTTTCCCGCTCTTGTCATACTCCCAATATTCCATGTCGCCACCCTTACTCAATCCCCCGTAAACTGGTTTCTCCAATTATAATCGTTTAGGGCAGTCATAATCATTTTTATGAATCGTGGTTCCACCAGGTTACCCATCCTTCTTTTTGTCGTAGGCGGACGAGGAGGCCCACGGGGGTACTTTGGACAGTACCCCGCCCATGCTTTGTTGTAATCATATGGAAATTTTGTAGCAAGGTTTTTACAATCGAATGCCCTTCCTGACATCAACCCCTTTAAGTGGTTTTTACACCCCGTGAGACGGTGATCCTATTCTAGACCCAGATCACAGGAAACCTTTTAAAGCTACATTAGCCGCCAAAAGACGTTGCCATTCCACCGCCACGATAAGGCTGAAGGTATGATTTAATAGATTTATTTGAATAATAATAAGGAACGAATATCAAAATAATATTCGATTCGAATATATTAAATCGAAACTAATATTAATCAAATTAAATTGGCATATATTTTATTTTCATAAAATTTCATAGACTGAGATGGTTTGGGTATGTGGGAAAGATAAAGGATGACTGGGTAAAGAGATGCACCATCTCGATGAAAGAGAAACAATACCTTAAGGAAGGCCTAAAATGACGTGTCAAAGTGATAGCGGCGGATATGGGAAAAATGATTTATATAAATAAGGAAGCTCGGAACCATCAAAAATGGATTGAGAAAAACAGACAGGAAGCTGGTTTACCTGGGTAAACCTGAAAACCGCCATTAAACGGAGAAGATATAGAGATAATTAACAATAAAAACCTTATTTATAAATTTTATAAATGCTTACATGCCTTATATAATATGGGTAAAATGAATAAATTATATCCACAATTATTAAAGATAATTTAGTAATTACACAAATCAAAATAACTTAACATTCGGGAATTAAATTAATCGCCATTTTATGATTTTTTCAGATAATTATTTTTTAAAGTTGTATATTTGAATATAAAAGAACTCAACCAAATTTTCTGA